TTTTCAAGGCAAGAGACATTCACAGGTGGTTTTGCCATTGCCTGCCTCTGTGTGGCGGCCATGTACTGCTTTAGTCGTTTCCCATCCAAATACTAACCAGGACCAACCCTGCTTAAGTTCTGAGATCTGATGAGATCAGGCTAGCTTGGGCTATTCAGGTCAGGTCAGCGGTTCTTAAGTGGAGCTCCGTAGCTCCCAACAGGGCGATCTACTTATCTTGGTGGACATTCAAGAGCTTGGGGGCATATGTGTGGTATTTGGGGTTTTAGGCAGCCCATTCCCCTTACTTGCAATGAATTGACAGCCAGTGGAATCGCATTGCTTTATTGTGTCCCCCCCCACCACCACCCGGGATAAAATCCCAGATCCAGATTTCTCCTCTGAGCCCTTAAAAAGTGGCATACATCAGACCAGGAGTGCTTCTTTCCACCTGGGGCAACCTCCCCCCCAACATTATTCCTCCATTAATCTTTGACAGGGGGCACGAAGTCACAGTTGACTTAAGGCCCCTTAGGTTTTTGAAGGCAAGAGATATTCAGAGGCAGTTTGCCCTTGCCTGCCTCCGTGTAGGAATTTTGGACTTCCTTGGAGGTCTCCCATCCATGAAGTAACCAGGGCCAACTCTGCTTAGCTTCTAAGATCTGATGAGATCAGGCGAGCCTGAGCTATCTGGGTGAGGGCTTCATATGTCTATCTCTATAAGTAAAGCTGCTTTGACTGGTGTGCCGTGGGTATCTCCTCATTTTTATCTCTGGTTTGGGAGGCATTCAGTGATGCCGCTAGGGTTGCCAGCTGTAGCAAACACTTCAGCAGGAGCAGGAGAATTGGGGGCGGAGGGCGGGGACAAGTTCTTCAGTGTCATGCCAACTTGCAACACCCATTCTAGTGCAAAACCAGAAGCGACATCATCTCAGTGGCATGAGGCTGTAGGATTCACCCAAAATTTTGTGATTGAACCATAGAGCCAGGGGTCATTTCCTGCACGAGCGCACAGGAGCGGAGCTCCGGCAGTAAGGAGCCCAGGGATGGGCACATGCAACAAGCCCCGCCCCCTGCTCCCAGCAGCCCTCAGTTGGGCCACGAGGAGCAAGAAGCAGCCAGGTAAGTTGCAGAGCCTCCCCCCCCCGGCCCGCCTTCAGGTACAAGCTCTCCCTCCTCTGCGAGGACAGATCTGCACATTCCCCCCCCCCCATAGCTAGCAATCCAAAACAGTCCAGTGGAGCTTGAGTGGTGGGTGTTGCCTTCTGACACACTTCCAGTCAGGGGGTGTGGCATATGCAAATAAGTTATGCTAATGAGCTCCTGCACCTCTTTTTCTATGAAATGTCCCCTGCATAGAGGTATACTGGGAGACCCGTCCCCCCCAAATGTTGCTGTGTACTTGACATCAGATTTTATATATATGTATAGGTGTGTGTGTATATGTATATGTATATATATGTGTATGTGTATGTGTGTGTATATATTGTAAATATATATATATATATATATATATATATATATACACACACACATATATGCATTTTAAAAACTTGAGTAATTTAATACTGGGATTGAAGTTAGTCACTGAGGCGTCCTCTTATTAAGGAGGACTGGTTTTCCCTTTAAATGTGCTCTTTGCTTTATTTAAACTGGGTAGATTCGGCTGCCACCAGGAATTTAAGGATTTCCAAACCTTCTCTCTGTTCTTCTTTCTGGTAAAGTAACCCAGGGTCTAGACTTTTCAGGGATCTATGTGGTCATGAGGGAGGATTGAATTCAATTCTGGGATAACTTAAACAAAAGATGATTTATTGAACTAAGAACAAAATATGAGGTTGGTTATTCTGTAACTGTTTAAGGTAAAGGGACTTGTAAATATGTTGTTCAAACGTATCACACACACAGCCTTTTTTTTCTCTTTTGTTTGTTTGACACTCAGTTCCAACATTAACAGGATTCACTCTTCTCTTTAGAGTCAGCCACTCAGGCTAAGGACATATATACTCTCCTCTTTGAGATCTCACACAGAACTATATTAACCCTCACTGACTGAACGCCAGCTGCACAAATCCAACTGCTTTTTCTAACTGACTTTCATAACGGACTAACTGACACACCCACACAGATTCACTTCAAAACCCCACACTCTGTCATCCACCAATCACAGCACATTTGTCTCTCTCAATCACCCTGCTCTGCTATCACTGTACCTCAACCAAACACTTAAAGAGACACACACACTCTTAAAACAAGGAATCGTTACAGTCACATTAGACAATTACGTGATAGTTATTTCCAGCGGTTTCAATAGAAAACACATTTCTGGTTGTAACTCCTATCCCACATCAACTGAGATTAAATTCCTTCAGACATGGGATACTCCCTTCCAAATTTCATACGGATAGGAAAAAGCATCTCTGTTCTACAGGGAATTAAATTTTTTTTTTGCAGAGCAGGCACAGCTCCAGAGAACAAAACGGCTTATGCAGACAGAAGACTTATGTTTATACAGCATCAGGCCCTCCTCCCAAATCCAGTGAGATGGTACAGCCTTTGGCAAGACAAGGGTGACCCAATAGATGCTGTTTACCTAGACTTCCAGAAAGCTTTTGATAAGGTTCCTCATCAAAGGCTCCGAAGTAAACTCAGTAGTCATGGGATAAGAGGACAAGTCCTCTTGTAGATCAAAAACTGGCTAATTAATAGGAAACAGAGTATAAATGGGCAAGTTTTCACAGTGGAAGGTGGTAAGGAGTGGAGTACTGCAGAGCTTGGTACTAGGTCCAGTGCTTTTTAACTTGTTCATTAATGATTTGGAGTTGGGAGTAAGCAGTAAAGTAGCTAAGTTGGCAGATGACACTAAGTTATTCAGGGTGGTGAGAACCAGGGAGGATTGTGAAGCACTCCAGAGGGATCTGTTGAGGATGGGCGAGTGGGTGTCAACATGGCAAAAGGGGTTCAATGTGGCCAAGTGCAAAGTAGTGCACACTGGGGCCAAAAATCCTAACTACAAATACACGTTGATGGAGTCCAAACTGGCGGAGACCAACCAGGACAGAGATCTTGGAGTTGTGGTAGATAACTCACTGAAAATATCAGCTCAGTGTGTGACGGCAATGAAAAAGGCAAATGCTATGTTGGGGATTATTAGGAAGGGAACTGAAAACAAATCAGCCAGTATCATAAGGCCCCTGCATAAATCGATGGTGTGGCCTCATTTGGAATACTGTATGCAGTTCTGGTCACCGCACCTCAGACAAGATATTGTAGCACTGGAAAAAGTGCAGGAAAAGGCAACTAAAATGATTAAGGGGATAGAACACTTTCCCTGTGAAGAAAGGTTAAAGAGGTTAGGGCTCTTTAGCTTGGAGAAATGACGACTGAGGGGCGACATGATAGAGATTTACAAAATAATGCATGGGTTAGAGAAGATAGAGAAAGAGGTACTTTTCTCCCTTTTTCACAATACAAGAACTCATGGGCACTCAATGAAATTAATGAGCAGTAGGTTTAGAACAGATAAAAGGCAGTAATTCTTCACCCAAAGAGTACTTAACAAGTGAAATTCACTGTCACAGAAAATGGTGGCAGCTCCAAGCATAGACAGCTTCAAGAGGGGATTAGATAAACATATGGGGCCGAGGTCCATCAGTGGCTATTAGTCCCAAGGTATAGATGGAACACTGTCTGGGGCAGTGATGCTCTGTGTGCTTGGTGCTTGGGGGGCAGCAGTGGGAGAGCTTCTGGAGTTCTGGCCCCCCTGGTGGACCTCCTGATGGCACCTATGTTGGGCTGAAGGGGCCATTGGGCTGACCCAGCATGGCTTCCCTTACGTTCTTAAAGTGAAAGTGCTGTGCATGGAAATGCCAATTTGAATGATCCTATTTGATGGAAAGACAGTTCCGTTGTTCTGGTTGAATACTGTCCCATTCCAGGCTCACATCTGCTGCCTTATTAATTCTGTTGACAGCTCCTTCTGCTGTCTGAAACAATGAAACCAGACACTAACAAACTAGACCAATTGTCAGACTTCCGATTGTTGGAAGTCATTTGGATGGTCATTAGGACATTCTAAAACCAAGCAAAGGTTAGTGAAAAGGAGGGCCAATATTAAAACCTTTCCATAAAAGATAAAAAGAGGTACATGTATTTATTAATAATAATAACAAATTTTAAAACATATATAGAGGCCCATTTACAACCAATGTATATAAAATATAACAATATCAAGGGCTTACAAAGTTGACCTTACGCGTTTCGGCCAAATAGGCCTTCCTCAGAGGTCATACATATGTGGCAAGATGGTTAATAATTATTTTCACATAAACACAATCAGAAATATATACAAAGTATAGATTCAATGAGGACCATAAAGTAAATTGCTGTAAAAAAATAAAAGATTAAACACACATATTTTACAAAAAATTGAAATCTATATAGCCAATCTATAAATATAGACCATAAACTTACTTCAAAAGTAAAATCACCAGGCACAAGGTAAATATGCCCATAAGACCTTTAAAGTGCAATCACTAGCCCAGTGATTATAAACCTAAGGAGAAAAAATGAAAATCAGTATATCAAACAACAATAATAATAAACTCATTAGGGCATTCTAACCTGGCTCAGGTTGTATCTGATTAGTAGCATTCCAGCAGCACTGCCTTAAGGATTCCCACTTCTCCCACATTTTGTCACTTCCTCTTTCTGTTATTCCTCCCCTCTGAGCATTTTGGCGTTCTCGCTCTGTGCTGCAGAGCATCTGGGTAGCTTGTTACAGACTCCCCCCTCTATGCTGAAGCAACTTGATTGTTTAAGAATTCATACGGGAGGTTGTGATCCTTAGAAAATGTGGTGCCAAGGAGCCTCGCTGTGGCTGCAGTTATCGCGATGCACCCTGATTACCACTTTTTAAATATATGGACTCCTCTGAATTGACATTAGTATTGGGCTGGTGGACGCCCTGAGCTGCCTCCCCTTCCCTGGCTGATGAACTTCTCCTGTCGTGTACTTGGCAGGGTGATGACGACCTAATGACCGTGTGCATTGGAGAAATATTCCTGGAGTTTGTCAACATGCTGCCGGCTTTCCAGACCTATTGTCTCCAGCAGTCCTCTTCAGTGAACATGCTCAATGCATTGGAGAAAGAGAAGGAGCTACTCAGGTGAGAAGCGTTCTGAAACTTGGGTAGGTCATACGTGGGCATGAGGTTCCAGAACAAACAAGCTTTAGCAGCAGATGTGGTTTGGAGTGGGGTGGGCCTCAGAGTGAAATAGAGCTACAATCCTCCCTTCTCTTAGTGGAGCATGTTTACAAAACGGATCGTGGCCACTTTCCCTTTCGTAGCCCCACAAGAAGCAACTCCTGAAGGTCAGGAGGACTCTTGAGAATAGCTACCGGGGAGGGGGGGGGCTGTAGCAAGAAGGTAGAAATGACACACGTGCCACATAAACCAGGGCTTTTTTGGTAGAAAAAGCCCAGCAGGAACTCATTAGCATAATAGGCCACACCCAACACCAGTCTTTTGGTTAGCCCGGGTGCCCCGCGGCTGCAGGAAGCCCGGGCAAGCTGGCCCTGGGAGGGGAGGGGAGGCAGTTTAAACTGCCTTCTTTTGGTTAGCCCGGGTGCCCCGCGGCTGCAGGAAGCCCGGGCAAGCCGGCCCTGGGAGGGGAGGGGAGGCAGTTTAAACTGCCTTCCCTTAGCTTGGGTGTAGGGCACGGGTCGGCAACCCGCGGCTCCAGAGCCACATGCGGCTCTTTGGAACGTTTGCCGCGGCTCCGGGCTGGTCCGCCGCGCTCTCTCCTTCGCCCGCCCGCTCGTCGTCCTCCTCCTCGCTGCGCTTCCGCCCGCCGGCTCCTGCTGGGCTCCAAAGGCGAGAGCGAGTGCGGCTCCGAGTCCCCGCTCAGGCGCTCGGGCTCCCCACTATAAACCCGGCCACCCCCCTTCCCCGGCAACTCCGCCGCTGGTTGGGTGGCGCCCCTGTCACTTAGGCGCACCTCGCGTCTGGGCGCACCCCCCGCGTGCCGAAAGGGGCGGGCCCCGTGCGGGGGAGGGACGGGAGGGGGCGGCCTGGCGGGGGGGAAGGAGCCAAAGGGCAATTATTATTTTTTAAAGGATTATGCGTATTATTTCGCGCCTTCTGGCCCGATCCAGTCAGATCTCGGAAACGAAGCGGGGACGGCCCTGAGCAGTGTCTGGATGGGAGGCCACCAAGGCAGTCCAGGGTCGCTACACAGAGGCAGGCGAGGGCAACCCACCTCTGAGCGGCTCTGGCCTGCGAAACGCCACACAGAGATTGTCAATTCTCTAGCGGGGGTGGGGGTTGGAAAGAATGGTGGGGGGGGTCCTTTGTGCTTCCAAAGTTGGCGGCCACCCTCGCTCGGGTAACTGTCTCCAGTGGTCGGAAGGGATACCCCAGATTCCCCCCTCCCCCCCGTGACTCGGCCAGATCCATCGCGCTGATCCTCTGCCTGCTGCTCGGAAGCCCGCGGAAGAGCCCCTGCCTTGAGGACTAGTCGCCCGGCGCGCGCGGCTGACCCAGATACATCCGATGGCCGCCTCCTCAGTGAGTGACACCCCGCGCCCGGCACCCTTGGCTTTCCTGGGCGCGGCACCCACTGATTTCAACGGAGCTTGTGTCCAAGGAGGGAGATCCGGATCGTGGTACTTAGAAGTTGCTCCGGCTCATCTCCAGCGGGGGGGGGGGGGGGGGGGGTGGGGGGCCGGGCGGGGGGGGGGAGAGGCAGGGGGGGGGAGGAGACAGGGAAACAGCGGGATGGGGGGTACTTACCTCCGCCTGATCCCCACCCATCCCCCTGCCTAGCCCAGCCGACCCGGGCCTGGAACCCTAGCCCCTTCCACACCTGCCGACGACGGGGTGCTTGATGAGCAACGTGCTTTGGTGCGGTTTGGCAGTGGGAGGCTCCCGGTTTTTTTTCCCCTTCGGAAACGGGTCCAAGTGGCTCTTTATGTCTTAAAGGTTGCAGACCCCTGACATAGACCCTCATGTGCATATTTTTGTACCATTTTCTGATCTCGGTCCATTCACAATAGCGTGTGATGGGGGATTTCTGTCAGTTCCCCTGCCTTGATGCAACCTCCCTGCCACATTCCCCGCTGGCCTAAGGGTCTCCAGTCTTCAGGAGCAGCTTTCCAATGGATGCAGGGGCCGTGCTGACGAATGAGAGACAGCAGAGCTCCCTTCTGTGGGCTCACTCCATTTGCAGACCCAACCCAAAGTCAAGCACCAGGGTGCACGGCATGGACTAGGATTTCAGACCAGTCAAGGCTTCCTGGGACCTGAGGCCTTACCAAAGTAATGAGGTCGCTGTGTCATCCACACGTTCCTCTCCTGTAACTGACATTGCTACTTTCCTATTACTTACATTGGTGCTTGGGGGGGGGGGCAACAGTAGGAGGGTTCCTAGTGTCCTGGCCCCACTGCTGGACCTCCTGATACCTGGTATTTTTGGCCACTGTGTGACACAGAGTGTTGGACTGGATGGGCCATTGGCCTGATCCAACATTGGCTTCTCTTATGTTCTTGTGTTCTTACTACTGATTGTCATCTAGCTTTAAAACTTCTGCTCATACTACTTCAATGGACTTTGTAGGTAGGATAAGATACAAGAATCTGCTATGGGGGGAACTGTTAGCAGCTTTCCCCTTCCCTTTGTGCAAGCAGAAAGGGCCAGAAACTTCGGATGAAATACAGATGGACGTTTCTGTGTGGATTTAGTATTTTTTCCTGGAAACGGAACTCTTGTCCGACCTTTCAGCCAGGGGCGTGATGCGGAGGCAGCCAGTGGCAAATCACCTCTGAACATCTCTTGCCTTGGAAACCCCCTGAGTGGTCGCCATAAGTCAGCTGTGTGTATTATTATTATTATTATTATTATTATTATTATTATTATTATTATTATTATTATTATTATTATTATTATTATTATTATCATTTGTATCCTGCCCTCCCCGTGAACAGGCTCAGGGCGGCTTACATTAGTCGGTACCAGGTACCATAAAATCCACATAAAAGCATTTAAAACATTTTAAAACAATCAGGTAATCATAAAGTGCTAGTAATAATAATCATTCCATCATTAATTGAGATGGCGTGCTGTGTGATGTAACAAGCAGACAATTCCCGACTCAGTGATCTTCTGGCATCACGTGACGCTCTGGCTTGATCTCAAAGCTGGGGCCGGCCCATAACCCGGATGTTGGTGGTAGTGGTGAGGGCAGTTCCTAATTGAAAGCCTGGTGGAAGAGCTCCGTCTTGCAGGCCCTGCGGAACTGTAGAACTTGACGGCACTTTCCACCTCCCCCATGATTGGCAGTGCTGTTCTGCTGTTGCGTGTCGAGTTTTGTGACAGTCTGATTTCCCCCTCCTCTTCAAGTGGTCCTTACCCCCAAAGATCCGGATCATGAATGCACCACTGGGATATCCTTCTTACGTTCTAAGGGATAGGCAAAGAAATGTTTAATTCTCTTCCATCCTGGTGTGAACAGCAGCAGAGGGTTCTGTGAGTGCCCTCCCCTTGTACGTATCAAACATTTCACTCCCTGACACGAACCAAGACCCTGACAGATGGGACGACTGGTTGGTGTCAGCAAGCTGCCAAATTTCTTTTATTCTGAATTTTACATGTATGCGCTTACTTGCTTTCGGGTTCATATGTAGACCTGTTGATGCGCTTAATTGCTTAGCTGCTGGAACGTGTATATCTCTCAAGGCCACAGGTGGTTAGCTGCTAGATAGTTGCTTGGGTGATCTCATGGAGAGTCGTGGGAAGGAGATATGTTTTGCCAACTAGAAGCATTTGCTCCCAGGCACGATGGCGCGCGCGGGAAGTCCCACAATTGGGCCTCAGCTGTTTGAATGTACTACAACCTGTCATGCACATTGCTTTTCCCTCATTCCTAACAGTGATCCTGTACATGCACCTATAGCTTCAAATAAAGTAAAACCTTTCTACAAGAGTGTACTTCATTGATGCTGTGGGGAAGCCTGACCGTTGGTGTGTCCCCCACTTTAAGCGGAGGAGGGGATTTAAAGCTAAGGAGCATTTCCTGTGGAATAAGTAAAGTGGTGGAGGAGGGCAGCAATGCGACTGCACCATCAGCATTTGTTCCATTTGGAATATGGAAAATTATTATTATTATTAATAATAATAATAATAATAATATAAGTGGATACTTGAATAAGCTGAACAGTATCCTACTGAAAAAAGGAGCTGCGGTGGCTCAAGTGGTTAAGACGCTGAACTGCAGGATGTGGAAGGTCAGTAGTTCAGCAGTTCAAGACCCGGGTGCCGCAAGACAGGGTGAGCTCCTGTCTCTAGTTCCAGCTCCTGCCAACCTAGCAGTTCGAAAGCAAGAGATTGCAAGTAGATAAATAGGTACCACTTCAGTGGGAAGGCCGGTCATGCCGGCCACATGACCACAGAAACGTCTTCGGACAGCGCTGGTTCTTCGGCTTTGAAACGGAGATGAGCACCGCAACCCTAGAGTCGGATTCGACTGGCTTTCGAGCAAGGGAACCTTTACCTTTACTTTATCCTACTGAAGTGTGCAGAAAAACCATCCAGTTGCAGTGACTATTCTCCTGATAGCAGTCTAGTATGCCATAACATAACTAGGGATTATTTTGCCTAACTCATACTTGCAAACAAGCCCATTAGTTGGCGTTCCCCCCCCCCGTCAGCTTGCTTAACAATTCTTTTTTTTAAATCCCTGCAGGATATTCCTCAATGTTTCTCAGAATGACAACACAGCGCTTCGCCGCATGAATCTGAGGTCCTTCCTCATGGCTCCCTTACAGAGAGTCACGAAATACCCACTTCTGTTGAGCCGCGTCATCAAATCCACCACTGAGTACCACCCAGATCACAGCAGCCTAAGGGAAGCCAAGAGCCGCATTGAGTCCCACCTGGAGCACATTAACATGAAAACGAAGCAGGAAGGAAACTCGTGGACACTGCGCTCATTCCGCCAGGACAGTAAGAAGAACAGGGAAGTCATCAACATTGAAATGCGGGAAACCGCCATCAAGACTGTGGGCTGGTTACGGGAAGAAACCCGCTTTGTTATGGAAGGACCCTTGCAGCTTGCCCAGCCGCCCGATGGACAGTGGGTGAAAAAGGGCAGCAAGACCTTAAAATTCCAGAACATGCAAGTACTCCTCATGGTCAACATCAGACGTGCATCTGAGTCCAGCTTTGAGCCTGGGGAGCCAGGGTCTGTAAAAGATGCAGTCCTTGTAGTTATTAGGGACAAAAACAATGGGAAGTTTAGTTTACTTAGGGAACCCTTGAAACTCAGCAATTGTGTGGTCTCTGTGGATCCTGACTGCGACGATACATTTGAACTTATTGAGATCCGGCGGGAATCCTTTGTGTTCCGAGATGGGGACAAAGCCCGGACTCACCACTGGTTTCGACAGATACGGAGGTACTCGCGGGAGCTGGGGTCCTGGAAGAAGCGCCGTAACGCCCTACCCAACATCATGATAAGCGCATCCCACAATAGATCTTGAGAGGCGCCCGAATATGAAATTACTTGGCTCGGCTCAGAAATAGCACTAGACCTGCACTGGGCTGAGTCTCATCCTCGACAGAGCTCTAACTCCTTTCGGCAGAATTCCACAAAGGATGACCATCGCTGGGCTCAACGGCACCAGAAGAACTACCTTTGACAGCTTAATTTTCTACCAAGGAGGACTAGACAGTAGAGTACCATTAAATCAGTGTTTGTCAAAATCTAGGACACTGCCCCATTTCTGAACTGATGAGCTCTTCCACACACTCCCAACCGAGAAACCTCAGTGGGTACAACGGCCCAGCTCCCATAACCTCAGTGCCACTCTGTGCCCTGCTGTCGTTCTGTGCACTTATGCACAGAGCTACTTCTCCCATGGCTACCGTTTCTGTTCCTGCCAGGGCTCTTTTTGTAGCAGGAGCTCCTTTGCATATTAGGCCACACACCCCTGATGTAGCCAATCTTCCAAGAGCTTACAGTAGCCCCAGTAAGAAGAGCTCTGTAAACTCTTGGAGGGTTGGCTACACTAGGGGTGTGTGGCTTAATATGCAAAGGAGCTCCTGCTACAAAAAGAGCCCTGCAGTGCAACCCCTATTTTGTCGGGAGTTCTGCCCTGAGGTAACTTGCACCAGTCAGGGACTCACAGTTCCACTCCTCTCTCTAAGACCATTGGGTTAAAAACTAAAATTCTGTGTCCCACATTCCTCCTCAAGATTCACCATCCCCCTTTTGAGATGCACTGTCTGAAGGGGTATTAGTGGGACCCCATGGAAAACAAAGCTGCCATGAGAGGCTGCCATCTTGAGAGAGAGAGCTTCTAGACCATGCACTACTTTTCGTAATTTATCCAGCTGGTGATAAGGAAAATGCAGTGAGCCCGAAGAGCTGAGCAAATGACCACAGTTCTGCACATGCTAGGCAAAAGCAGAAGATCTAGTCATTCAAACTCGGGAGTTAGGGCAGGTTCTTGGGTGGGGAAGCGGCTGGATGTAGCTTCTAAGCAATGGGAGTCTTTTGCACCTTTGTAAATAGGTAAGACAGCAAAGATGATAAAACGTTGTGCGGTCAGTCTAGCAGGCAAATAGGCCATAGCCTGTGAAGACTTGCACAAGGGAGGCAGGCCCTTCAGAGATGTGGACTGCTAGGGACACCTTCCCATATGGCAATGAGGTCTTTGGTAACAGATCGCAAGGAGCAGGTCTCTAGCAAGGAAATGTGGAGCTAATATTGTGGAGCTAAGAGAAAGCGTGTGAAGTGTTTTGACTCTGCATGATTGTACAGGGGGGAAGAAAGAATCTTGACAATATATGATAGAGGTTCCATTGTGCATATATTATAACAGCATTAGGCAACATCCAGGTCCAATTTAGAGCAGTATTAACCCAATAAAGGAGAATGTCTAGATGGTATAATTATCTTCTAATGTCAGCTTGCTCTCCCAGGAAGTATTTCCTTTAGTAGCTGGTCCTTTTGGGGTTTGCATTTTTTTTGCAGTTTGGCTCCTCTTTGTCTGCTTTTATCCTCAAGGCCAAGAAGGTGCGAGTCTCATAGCTTGAGTCTTACCTTTTATCGAATGCATGTAGTATATAAAACTGAAAAGGGAAGCCAGCATTTCTTCAGAGTTCACTCATGAACATTCCAGAATACTTAATAGAATCCTCTGGATAAGCAATACCTTCTCTCTTTACGGATCACTGGATTTATTTTTAAATGGTGAAAAATCCATTGTGGAAGTTCAAGGAATGTGATGCATCAGAAGTAGTTCTGAACTGTGCTTCTGTTTAACAAGGTTCAATTACCTCTCCTAACTTGTGATTATTTAAATGATGTAATCTAGTGTATTTCAAAATTTTAATTTAAAAGAAATTCCATTACATTATACTGTAGATTAACAAGCATAAAATGATTTAATATTTTATGGTTGCTTTGCGCTTTGATTAGTTTGGTACATTTCCTGTTTGAACACCGACATTTTAAAAAAATGGGATAATGTATAACAGTATCCCACCCAACAGAACAAAATCTGTTGTGGACAGTTCTGCACCCCATGCCTTCCCTTGGCTTGCCGTGACTGCGGGGAGCTTGGGCAAGCCCTCCCCTTGAAGGGAAGGCAGTTTAAACGTTTAAAGGGAAGCGTCCCTTTAAAGTTTAAAGGGAAGTGTTACAGCAGTCGGGTTCTACAGATGGCTGCCTGTGCGCATGCCCAAACTGAGAGAAAAACAACACCGACACGTGTGGACGGCGGGGAGCAATGTGGCCGCGCAGCAATCCGGAGCAAGGTGGTGAGTGTGGTCGCGATTCTCCAGGTTTAAAAAAAGCACTCATGGAGCTGGAGCAGTTTAACCCGCTCCCAGACACCGTCTGACCGCACCCAAAGACTAACCACATTTGTTCCAGCAGAAGCGGTCATGAACCAGAACTCACTTCTTTAAGGTACCATTGGACTCCTGTTTTATTTTGCTGCTAGAGACTAGCACAGATGCCAATCACAAATTTTCATTATGGAAGGCTACCCTGACAGGAAAGCCAGCAACAGCACATGTACTTGGGCTGCTGCTCCCAGCTTCTAATCTTAAGGCCCTTAACATCTTCTGCCTTCATTCCCTGGTTATGTTCCACTTTGACCTTTTAGGTCAACAACAAGCTCATTTTGACTGTGCCATCAATACACCCAATTTCAAACTGCAAAGGCATACAGAGATGGGGTGACCACCCCTCCCCTTGTGAAACTTTGTTCGGCAGACACTTCATTCAAGCTCGTTGATCCCACAAAGGATGAGCATTTTTTAAAGAACTAGCATAGCTCCCATGTCCTTAATTGCTGTCATTACCACCCTTGCTGTGGAAGGTCAGTAGTTCAGCAGCTCGAGACCTGGGTGCCGCATGATGGAGTGAGCTCCCATCTCCAGTTCCAGCTCCTGCCAACCTAGCAGTTCGAAAGCAAGAAATTGCAAGTAGATAAATAGGTACCACTTTGGTGGGAAGGTAACAGCGTTCCGTGCGCCTTGGTGTTTAGTCATGCTGGCCACATGACCACTGAAACGTCTTCGGACAGCGCTGGCTCTTCGGCTTTGAAACGGAGATGAGCACTGCAACCCTAGAGTCGGACTCGACTGGCTTTCGAGCAAGGGAACCTTTACCTTTTTACCACCCTTCCAACTTCTCTTGTTTACAGAAGCCCTCATAACTAGTTGGAAGTGCAAGGTGGGGAGGGGCTGCGGCATTGGCAGAGCATCTGCTCGGCATGCAGAAGGTCCCAGGTTCAATCCCTGGTATCTCCAGTTAAAATATATGTCAGTAGGTGATGGGAAACTCCTAAGCCACTGCTAGTCTGAGCAGACAATACTGGCTTTGGTGGACCAAGGGTCTGACTCAGTATAAGACAGTTTCATGAGTGTTCATGTGTACATCCACACAGTACTTTGACAGAAAACAGGCTCTGGGGGATGGGAACAGTGTTTGTTCACAACAGATACCCTGTAGAAGACTTGTATTATACTCTCTGCTTCCGAGTTTGTATGTGAAACTTAGTTTTGCACATTTGACTGACATCAAGATTAGTGCCCCAGGCCAAAGGAGCACACACGTGAAGAAGTGGGGACTGTGTACACAGAGACCTTACAACAAAATGAGAATCCCCACCGGTGTGAACAGGGATTGAATCCATCCCATTGCTCCTCCTCCCAATCCAATGATTAGCAGAACTTTAACCTCCACGTGTCCAATCCCAGCTGTTGGAGCAGAAAGGTGGGGAGGGCAACACACCTACCATATTAGGGCACATGTTTCCAAGCTGGGAATAACTGCAGCGAAAAAGGGTCTTTGGGATTGCATTTCACAGAATATTCCTGCTTACACAATAGCTCTTGCATGAGCAGAAACACCTCTTGCACGAGCAGAAACACTTCCCTGTATTCTATACCGCATTTCTGTGGAATTGTAATATGGCTTCTTTCTAAAGAACACCCAAAGGGACCCTTCACCTTCCCACACAGACAATCTGTAACTATTTTATCAGCCTCAATTTATATAAACTTTGTTAGTGTTCTTTTAATGTGTGGATTTTGGAACCTACAGTTCCCTTAATGAAAATTAACTTTGAGGTGGACCTCATTTACAGATCTGACTGTCTCCATCAACTGCCCCAACTAGAGTAACATTTGACACACATATTTTGATAGATCCCATCTCTACTACTTTCAGCAGTAAGTCTACAAAATGCTAAAGGTTGAATGTTAAAATTAAAAGATTGATTTCTGTAAAGATAGAAACACATATTTTATGTGCACGGATACACACCACTTGCACATTAACAGCACTGCGATGTGCTGCACCACTTTAGATCCCATAAAATCCAGACAGAATTAGGCGCCCCTCCCCCAACATAAGCACCCGCAGAAGGAAGAGGAGATAGCCTTCGCCTTCCTAAAGGACCCTGCATTTATAACAACTCCTCCCTCTAGGCAATTTGTCAACACTCCCAGTTGTTTTCTTGTAGGAAATAGGGCAGACTTATATAAGCACATACACTGCTGAAGAACAGGATTCTCTTTATTTACCCACATGAACGTTCGCAGTGACCATTAAAAAAATAACCAGAACAAGGCAAAAAGTTTTACAAACAAGATTACTTACAGCTACTAATTTGTAAAGTATGAAGGTTTTGTTATTCTTTGGATGTTACCTTTATCAAAGGAAAACATGGGGGGGGGGGGGGGATCAAAGGAAAACCTTGGGGGGGGGGGGAGATCCAGCAAAGCATACAACATGAAAAATGACCCTGCACACTGAAGAAATGTCTTATGTAAATCTGATTTGGAAGATGGACATTAAGCACTGACACACAAGAGATTTACACACACAAGTGACCAGTCAGGTTTGGTTTGCATCCACAACTTTGACACTAGACTACTAAGGCTGCGATCCTCTGTACACAATGAAATCAAAGAATTTGCACCCAAGTAAATGTGTTTAAGGATCAAGAGGGGGGCAATAATTTGCCTCTTACCAGTCAAATACTTTCTTTACTGCTACTTAAGGTCTTACTAAGAGATGCAATACAAAATGATGGAGATATGAAACAAGTCACCTGGAATCTAAAGGAGCACAAATACCCCCAACTTGAGCATTTGGCTAGTGGCCTCCACAAGTGTGTGCTTATCGCCAACACATGCAACAGACGTTTTAGGATTTGTTTTCCTTAAATGGCTGCTGTATACTTAACGCCGTGCATAGAAATAACCTATGAGAGTCAGAAGACTCTAAGAAAGTAAAAAGACTCAAAAGCTAGGTCTTTCCTAGCTATGCAAATCAAGCTCTATATACAAAAAGTATGCAGAGTACAGTAAAACAATGTTTCTTTGAAAACAAATTCCCAATGATATGGCTATTGACCAGATTATCCTTTTTTGCTTTAATACAACAACAGTACACAATTACTAGTATGAGTAGAAAGGAAGTGTCCCAACCATGTTTTAACCACAGAAGATATTTGCAGCCAAGTGCCGCCATCTTAGTTCACACTAAACTGTATAAAGCTTGAGTGGTGGAGACGTCCCAAAAGACGGGCCTCAGCACAACCAGAGGAGGAAAGATTAGAAACTGTGGCCCAATGGCAAACAACTCTCACACCTCCTTGTGCAGAGCTAGTACACTGTTATGGCTGCTGTTCACAAAACAGGTTGCTCACAACATGGTCAACTCATGCTGCCAACACGGCTACCAGGCCGGTGTTCACAGAAGAGTCGAGTGCTTTCATGTGGACATACTAAACATTCAGTAGGGGGCAAAAAAGTGGTTTTGCAGCTTGTGGTTCCTCTAAGCTACTGCTGGAGAGCTCAATTAAAGCTCCTCCATTGGCAGCAAAACTGAGGTAATCATAGATTCAGTTCAACATGCCCTGATTTATTTCTCTCCACCAGCACCATCTGTTGCCTCCTTGTTGAGCCCTCTGATCGACAGGTCATAAACCACCTCCTCAATCTTCTTGACATCATACTTGAGGCCATCATACCGCTTCCTCAGGGAGTCATTCTTCAAGTTCAGGAGGCGGAAGCCAGAATCCAGCTCATTGATGAAAGCAGAGATGCGGAGGGGGCGAGAGTAGTCTCCGGCTGTGACACTGTTCACTGCGAGCCTAGACTATTAGAACACAGAACGGAGCAAGCTAAGTAGAGAAACAAATCAGAACTGAAACAACCCAACCAGAGTCCAGAACAATATTCACCTCTGAGTAAGAACTAAGTGTTTTGTCCCTTTCAGAGCGGGACTTTTAGAGCTTTCTGAATAAAACAGACAAGTACATCTGATGAAACCTAAGGGCTTTTTATTTTTATTATTTTGTTTTATTTATTTAGAAAGTTTGCCTTCTGGCACTCCATGAAACCTCCAATATAACTAAAACCACTGTGACTAAATGAAAATTAATACACATTAAATACTAATGTTATGGGCAATTATAATTTAATTATCAATTAACTGTTTTAACAAACCTATATTGTATAAATGTGTATTTTTAATATAACTTGTTTTTATTAATGCACATATACGGTACGTCAAAAATACTTTGTCAAGAAAGAGTAACATTGCATTCCTCAATCTTAATCTTAACTGTAATAGTTGTATTTTGAGATTTTACCGATTGTATTGTTTTGACTTGATATTTTATCAATTGTATATTGGTTTTTAACTATTGTAAGCCGCCCTGAGCCGCTTCGGTGGGAGGGCGGGATAAAAGTCTAACCAATAAATAAATAAATCATTATAATGGAAAGAACAAGTCACGTCAGAGGAACAAAACCATTACTCAAGAATACTTGCACAAGGTCAGAGTCCATGTCAAAATAACAATCGCCAATCCACGAACAGTCATATAAACAGACAGCTATATGAAAAGCTGTTCTCCAGTTCATGTGTCGGCACACTAAACTACTGGAGACCAATGTTTCCCCTAAGTTGTGGAGTCGTGAGCAAAAATTCTACTTTGTGAGCTACTGGCATTAAAGCTGTGAGCGAATGATTTGGCTACTGCATAAATTAGCTTGCTTCAGAGCCATTCTTCCTGAACTAAGACAAAAATGTGTGAGCCAGAGGTTAAAAGCTGTGAGCTAGCTCACACTAACTCAGCTTAGAGGGAACACGGCTGGAGACTGACTTGTGATTAATGTGAATTCCAGACATATATTCTGAGTAGAAGCGGCAACATTCAATTTTCCAACAGACTAACGCGTCTTCTAGGTTAAATCTGCATTTCTTTCGAAATATGAAGCGATTTGCTCCTCGTCATTGGGAAGTGGTGTGTTTTTGGTAACACAGTATGAAGCTCCAGTTCAGACGTTTTAAGGCATTGACTCTGACAAAGATCAGAAATGCAGATTTAACCTAGGAGACACATTAAGTCTGTTGGAAAATTGAACGTTGCTGCTTCTGTTCAGAATACATGATCACAAGTGGAGCAACTCTGTCTGGAATTCACATTAATCACAAGTCAGTCTACAGTAGTTTAGTGTGCCGACACATGAGCTGGAGAACAGCTTTTCATATAGCTGTCTGTTTATATGACTGTTCGTGGATCAGCAATTGTCATTTTGACATGGACTCTGACTTTGTGCAAGTATTCTTGAGTAACAGTTTTGTTCCTTTGACGTGGCTTGTTCTTTCCATTATAATAATTTGAGGAATGCAATGTTCATCTTTCTTGAGTATTTTTGAAGTATATGTGAATTAATAAAAACAAGTTATATTAAAACACATTTATACAATACTAGAAATAAGGCCCGTTGTGGAAATAAATACAACGGGATCTAGAAAGAGGCTCTGGGAGAGTGCTCTGGCTTTGGGCAAACAGTGTTAGTCTGCTTTTAAAACATGAACCTGGGACCTGCACACCACCAGAATACAGCAGGTTCCATATGCAACTGACATTCCAACTGCCTTGCGGGGGGGGGGGGAGTTTGAGGTGTGGAATGGAGTGAAGTCCAATCAGCTTCCATATGCAAAAGACCAGGTTGTCGCAGCAGTTGTGGTGTGGGTGGGACCCGGGCTTTGCCTTCTGATTGGTGGCGATATATGCTGAGGAGCAGTGCCATCAGCCATACACTAAGGGAGTGCATTTTAGAATTAGAACTTTGGCACCCACTATTCAATTATATATAAGGATAGGTTTGTTAAAACAGTTAGTTGATAATTGAATTATAATTGGCTATAACATTATCATTCTATGCATATTAATTTTCATTCAGTCACAGTGGTTTCAGTTATATTGCAGGCAATGCTCCCTCTAAGCTGTGGAGTCCTCTGAGCAAAAATTCTACTCTGTGAGCTACTGGCATTAAAGTTGTGAGCAAACAATTTGGCTACTGCACAAATTAGTTTGCTCTGGAGCCATCCTTCCTGAGCTGAGACAAAAATGTGTGTGCCGGAGGCTAAAAAACTGTGAGCTAGCTCACACTAACTCAGCTTAGAGGGAACACTGATTGCAGGTTCTTGTACACTGTGCTCCCTTGGATTTTGTTTCCCCAGGAACCTGCCTGATAAAAACACAGAACAGATAAGTTAAAAATTAACAAACTATTAACACAACATTTAAAAAAAAAACTGCTAGAGCATAAGCACAGGGCAAAGCACGTAAAATCTTCTACAGAGTCTTATGAAACAGGCTACAACAGACTGTAAACGCAGTGTGAGACATCAACCCCTAATTAAAAAGCTGGGTAAAAAGTAAGGTGCCTAGAAGAGAGTACACTAGGTCCAAGCAAGCCTCATGGGGAACAGCATTCCACAGAAAAGGTGCTACCACTGACAAAGCCCTGCCTCTGGTCATTAACTGTCTTACCTTGGCAAGTGGGGGCAGGGAGAGCAGAGTTTGTAAGGAGGGTCAACTATTTTAGTAACTACTAGCAGAAGGCCTATCTTTTTATGGTGGGTAAGGTCAAGTAGCAGCTTCATCAGTAATGAATGAAGCACCATAACCTCTAACTTTGCACAATGACAACATGGTGAGAAAAAACACTGCTGTCAGTCTGTTATTTTTCAGCCTGGCTATATCGGTGACAATAACTATGTTATAAAGCTTTTCGGTATTCTCCACTTACCAGCTCACTAGCTAGAGTCAGCACTCCAGAGAGGTAGTCCTCAATGTCCAGATGGAAACCTTTCTCTCTCTCGGCTTCAACTGCAAAGGGAAAGAACTAATCTGTATTTGTCTCTGACATCAACACCAACAGCAAACCTGGAAAACAATTTTCTCAACAGAAAGATTTCAAAGACTCAGGATCTCCTGCGCTACTTCAGGTCGGGCCTTCTCCTTTTTACTCACCTGAGCACTGAATTAAAGGAGATACAGCAAGAGTAGCAAAGCACCCTCTTTGCATGTGAGAGGCTTTCGGTTCAATCCCCAGTACACCCAGTTCAGAGTTTCAAGCAATGAGGGTAAAAAGACCTCTGTCTGAGAACCAGGCAGTCTTGCTACCATTCAGACCAGACATTGCTGGGCTAGATGAATAGAAGTGTTGCTTATATGGTAGTTCCGTATGATTGGCTAGACAAATTGCACCCAAAATTGTCATTACTCATCTGCAGTGTTCCCTCTAAGCTGAGTTAGTGTGAGCCAGCTCACAGTTTTTTAGCCTCCAGCTCACAAATTGTTGACTTAGCTCAGGAAGGATGGCTCCAGGGCAAACTAATTTATGCAGTAGCTAAATCGCTCGCTCACAACTTTAATGCCAGGAGCTCACAAAGCAGAATTTTGGCTCACAAGACTCCGTGGCTTAGAGGGAACATTGCTCATCTGTGTTCTTACTGTGGACAGTCCACATTTTTGTAAGTGTTTATAACTTTGCCAGTTTATAACTTCAAAACGTTGCATGTGTCAATACCAACTTTACTATTTTTCAAGACAAAAGAAACAAGTCAAAACATGAGGCAAGAGTCTTTCTGCATTTTTAATTTCAAGCCATGTCAAGAGTTTGGCTAATTCTCTAAAGAGAAGACATTTATCCCACTTTAGTGGGAAACTGCTTACTTACTTCCAAGTATTTCTGTAACAGCTTCCCGGGTCACTAATGTCTCTGTCTCCAAGTAGACAACAAATGTTGCCAAGAATACCAAGCGCTGTAGTACAAACCTCCAATGTTCATGAAATCTGTATGGAAAATTCAGATGTTTAAGTTTGCTGTGACAACCTTTGATAATTAAGGCTTCCAGATAGTAAGATTAGGTAGGTAAGCTTAATACATAAGAAAATCACATCTGAATCTATACCAAGGACATTAATCATCATCATGCCCTACTTTCCTCAAGGAACTTGGCAGATTTGGGAAGATAATCCCCCATTTTATCTTCACAATGCCACTGCAAACTACATTGAGAAGCAGTGACTGGCTCAAGGTTACCCAGTCCAGGGCTCTTTTTGTAGAAAAAGCCCAGCAGGAACTCATTAGCATAACAGGCCACACCCAACAGCAGAAACGCATTAGCATATTAGGCCACACCCCTGACAGCACAGCACATTAGGCCGCACCCCCATGTTACCAGAAGTGTGGTTATCCAGCCACACCCACCTTTTGCTTGTTATTCTGTTTACCTTGTTTGTTGTCAAAACCCAGGGCTTTTTTGTAGCAGGAACTCCTTTCCATGTTAGGCCACACACCCCTAATGTAGCCAATCCTAATGAGTTTCTGCTGTTGGGTGTGGCCTATTATGCTAATGAGTTCCTGCTGGGCGTGGCCAACTCAGGAGCCAGCCAGAACTCTGTTCCTGTGCGTTCCTGCCCAAAAATAGCCCTGCCAGTGACACTTAAGGCTGAGTGGGCATTTGAAACCAGGTCTGCTCAGACACAGGAGTCCAGCTCATGAACCAGTAAACCACACCAGCCTGACTGAGCAACAAAATGCTTCTACTCTCCCAGATCCCTCTACCTGATTTACGACGACATGAACGTGGATCAGACCTATTCAGCATGCGCACATTCGTTTCTTGGACCTCAAGCTCCTGCCAAAAACTAATCGCTCTTTCCTCCAGAAGATCTGGCTTTCATTCTCCATTTTGAAACATTATTAGAGATGGCAGGGGGGAGGGGGCAGCAGATAGTGTATACCATGTGGCCACACTGCACTGTACTAACAAAACTGTTGAGTCTCCCAATGCTTACTCACCTGTAATACTGATCTGCAGGAAATTTCATTTTCAGAGAGGCCAGCTGTGCTCTTACTGTGCCAAAATGTTCTCGAGCCTTCTGACACTTCTTTGGTACTGAAACCAGAAAACAAGCAAACAGCAGTGATGGCTTTCTCAGTCAAGAGAAAAAAGTGCTAGGTATTAAGTCTGTTTTACATACGTCAGACATGAAAGCCAGCAAAAACTGTTAAGGGCAAGGTCAAGCTTTCATGGCCAAGAGCTCACGTCGTGCTACAGTTCTAAATATTCAACTGATTGGCTAGTCAAATACTTTTTGCCAGTTGAGTATTCAGCCATGGAAGATGTCACTAGCCTGGTTCACTGTGCTACATCTTCTGTTCACAAAGACCAGCAGCCTACATCCTTAACAGTATGAAGTGCATATTCCTCAAGGGAATTAATCCTCGCATTTTATCATCAATCTCATATTAATATGCATGACTATAACACTCTCAGCAATGTGATTATATACTGAAGACAAGACACAAGCAGATCTTGACTTACTGTCCTGGAACCCAGAACCTTGGTGGACCCCCTGTAGCACCGTCAGAATTTCCCGAGCTGTCTGCTCCATAGTTTGAACAACTTTCCTGATCTCCTGTAAAGAGGAACAAAACAGGACATACAAGATGAAACAACAACAACTGGCATCACTTGCATCTGCAACCATTTCACCAGGCTGCATTATGACGAGAAATGAGGGGGGCCCTTCATCAACCTACTTTGGATCAATAAGAAAACCAGAACAGAGCTGTGAAGAAATTACTGAGAATTCTTTATACATATATTAACATGCAACATCCATCAATAAGAAACGGCAATCAAGAAGAAATTTACATCATAAATCCTTTATATAGTGCACTGCAATGTTTTTTTTAATTTTTCAGAAAGTCTCTAATCCAGTTGAAAAACGATTCTCGTCAATTTCAAAGTGTCCTGTGCAGTTGAAAAATCCTTTGTCTCCTGAAGACTCCAGTGTGAGTATAACAATTGCTGAGATGTGAGTAATGTTTTGCTATACTCCGAAGATAGTACGATCTTTCCTTTAAAGGATAAACAGCATACGTTCCGTCTGATGATTCTGCTAACCTGTGGGTCCGTTTAACTTGGCATTTTGTCAAAGGCAAAACAATTCAAAGGTTTCACAATCCATATCATTTTCACATCTCACAAAAATTCATCCACTTCATATATACACAAAGTCAATGTGTCCTGCTTATCCTATAAAGGAAAGATGATACTGTCCATGGTTTCATTCTGGTTTTCTTATCTACTTTCCATGATTCTCTCACTCTGTTCACCTACTTTGGATCCAGGCCTGCAGTGGACATTTGGCCTGGTCACTGTGTAATCATTACATAAATGATCTTAAGAACTGGTACTTAAGCTTGCTCTCCATCCTTTCCCTTTTCTGCCCGGTCCCTTTACCCTTTTGTGTTGTGTGTACTACAGTGCAGACCATTTTTTAAAACCATAAACCACCATGAATGCAGTGGCAGAAAGGCTATGTAGAAACGTTAGTAAGGAAAATATATGCACACGCCAACCATACAAGATCTATAACACAATACCACCATATTTGGGATTCTATAGAATTATTCCTCTGGAAGCAATTACTACAACTCCAGTTTGGTGTAGTGCCTAAGTGCGTGGACTCTAATCTGGGAGAACCGGGTTTGATTCCCCACTCCTCCACTTGCACCTGGCTGGATGACCTTGGGCAAGCCATAGTTCTGGCACAGCTGTTCTTGAAAAGGAGCAGTTTCTGTCAGAGCTCTCTCAGCCCCACCTACCTCATAGGATGTCTGTTGTGGGGAGGGGGAGGGAAAGGAGTCTGTAAGCCGCTCTGAGACACCTTTGGGTAGTGAAGGGCGGGGTATAAATCCAATCTCTTCTTCTATAAGATGCCACTATTTTGGCACAGAGGGTCAGCTTGGAAATAGCATCTGCAAGCTGGTCACGTATTGCACTTGAATTCAAGGGCCATTTCACACACTGCCATGTTTCAAATGTACACCTAATGTTAGCTACATGTACACTGGGGAGGGGCTATGGCTCAATGGATGAGCCTCTCCTTGACATGCGGAAAGTCCCAGGTTCAATTCCTGGCACCTTCAGTTAAAAAAAGGTTGTGTAATAGATGATGTGAAAGACCTCTACCTAAGACTCTGGCTGCCAAGTCTGAGTAGACAATACTGACCCTGGTGGATCGATAGTCTAACCTGGTATAAGGCAGCTTCATGTGTTCATGTGTATAACATGAACATGAAACATATGGGTGTATGCATGCAAACATATAGATTAGAAAAGGTAAAGGTTCCCTTGCTCGAAAGCCAGTCGAATCCGACTCTACGGTTGTGGTGATCATCTCCGTTTCAAAGCTGAAGAGCCAGCGCTGTCCGAAGACATTTCCGTGGTCATGTGGCCGGCATGACTAAACACCAAGGCCCTGTTACCTTCCCACCGAATATAGATTATTAACAAGTAAATATCCTATAGCCTGGCATACCTCATACACTCAAGTAGCTGTGATTAGCTGCAGCTCCCAGGCAGTGTTCCCTCTAAGCTGAGTGAGTGTGAGCTAGCTCACAGGGTTTTTTTTAGCTTCTGGCTCACACATTTTTGTCTTCTCTCAGGAAGACATGGCTCCAGAGCAAACTGATTTATGCAGGAGCCAAACTGCTCGCTCACAACTTTAATGCCAGTAGCTCACAAAGTAGAATTTGTGCTCACAAGACTCCACAGCTTAGAGGGTGCATTGTTCCCAGGTACTAGCAGTAAAACCAGGCTCGTCTCCAGGCAATACATGAACTGACCCCGAAAAAATTGGATTCAATTTCATATCTGTGAGAGCAAGGAGATACTACACAGATCAATGAAACAATCGGTCACATTTTAATCCAACCTCCTGGTTTTTCAGGAAAAAGGCAAAGAGCAGGAAACAAAAAAACAAAACAAAAGGAGGCTGGGCTTCCTCTCCCTTTAATCATACAGGCATCCAGCGTCACCTTAGAGACTAAGACGGCATCCACACATCGTTAGATATTATAGCAGACATTCACAAATCGATTCCCCTGCGTGGAAAATGTAATACAGTTGTGAATGATTACTATTGCGTAACGATAATAGAAGATCTAACAGTGTGTGCCGTTTTCACTCACACAAGCTCACGCAGCAGTAAATTCTGACAAGTCTTTAAGGTCCAACTGGACTCCTTCTTACTTTACTTGTGTAGTGGTCAAGTGTGCGGACTCTAATCTGGGAGAACCGGGTTTGATTCCCCACACCTCCACTTGCACCTGCTGATGTGACCTTGGGTCAGTCACAAGCTCTGGCACAGCTATCCTTGAAAAAGAGCAGTTTGTGTCAGAGCTCTCTCTCAGCCCCACCCACCTCACAGGGGGTCTGTTGTGGGGAGGGGAAGGGAAAGGAGTTTGTAAGCCGCTCTGAGACTCCGAGTGAAGGGCGGGGTATAAATCCAATCTCTTCTTCTTCTTTATTTACAGTAGTCCATGACCAGAAGACAAGAAAAAGAATGACCATAGCCTGGTAAAATATAAAAATTAAGGTATACAAATATAAGAGTGTACAAAGGAATTAAAACTAATACAAAATGCAGCAGTTTCTAATCTAACTACATAAAAATATAAAATACAATCAGCTACTTTCTTCCACATTAAGTTGGGAAGTATACATAGAACGCAATTTAATTGCTTGGGAGCAGAATTTAGCAGCTTTCCAGGTGGTCTCTAGACTCCTTGTTTATTTTGTTGCAACTAACATAGCTGCTCACCTGGAATGATCTACCTTTAACTTAGCTGCTGAAAAGGAGAGATTTCCACAGGAAGAGCTTTCCTAATGCCTCCCCACCCCACCCCGCGTGCCTACCCTCTTCAATATAGTGCAAGGTACAAGGTGGCTCAAGTGGTTAAGACGCTGAACTGCAGGCTGTGGAAGGTCGGTAGTTCAGCAGTTCGAGACCCGAGTGTGCTGCATGACGGAGTGAGCTCCCGTCTCTAGTTCCAGCTCCTGCCAACCTAGCAGTTTGAAAGCAAGAAATTGCAAGTAGATAAATAGGGACCACTTCGGTGGGAAGGTAACAGCGTTCTGTGCACCTTGGTGTTTAGTCATGCCGGCCACATGACCACGGAAACGTCTTTGGACAGCGCTGGCTCTTCGGCTTGGAAACGGGAGATGAGCACCGCAACCCTAGAGTCGGACTCGACTGGCTTTCGAGCAAGGGAACCTTTACCTTTACTTTACAAGGTAAACAGCGCTCCGTGCGCCTCGGGCGTCTAGCCACGCCGGCCACGTAAACCGTCTTCGGACAGCGCTGGCTCTTCGGCTTGGAAACGGAGAGGAGCACCGCAGCCCTAGAGTCGGGACTCGACCGCCTTTCGAGCGCGGGGAAACCCTCACAAAAGCCCCAGCAGGAGACCCGTGATGCCCCAGGATCAGACGTGGGACTTTGCGAAGGGTCTGAGAGGACTGCTCCGGCTCCCGGGGGACCCACGGTGGAGAGAGAAGACGGCGCCCCCTATAGAGAGAGACCCCCCCACACACATACCCCACTGACCCTCCCTAATCTCACCTCGCGAATATCCTGGTCGGCGGTCAGCACCCCCTGCAGAGTGATGAACATCTCGCTGACAGACATGGCGGCACCAGAGGAAAATTGGCTCCCCACCCGCGCGACAAGAAACAGACCCTTCCACGCTTCGGCTGTGTGGCGCCGCCAAACCTTGCCTTTACCGCCCGGAAAGGGGAACCATAGAGACGACAACGACCTCGCCCTCTCGGTCCTGACAGGCACTTCCGGTCTAGAGTTCGAACGAGGTCCGCCCCCCTCCTCCTCCTCCTCCTCCCTCCGTCGTCTTCCCGTGCGAAAGAGAAGCCTAGAGCGACGCTCGTGCCTCCAGTGCTCGTGCGCGCCCCTATCGAACGGCCGCTAAGGGTCCCAGGGGCGCGCGCCCGCCAAGTGAAGGTGTGGCTGCAAAAGTGAACCATTTGGTTTTTGTGCTACCCTAAGAGTTCGGCGGCCTTGCATTCCTGTTTCGAAAGCAAGAAATTGCAAGTAGATAAATAGGGACCACTCCGGTGGGAAGGTAACAGCGTTCCGTGCGCCTTGGTGTTTAGTCATGCCGGCCACATGACCACGGAAACGTCTTCGGACAGCGCTGGCTCTTCGGCTTTGAAACGGAGATGAGCACCGCAACCCTAGAGTCGGATTCGACTGGCTTTCGAGCAAGGGAACCTTTACCTTTATGTACTCCTAGGAGCTGCGGTGGCTCAAGTGGTTAAGACGCTGAACTGCAGGCTGTGGAAGGTCGGTAGTTCAGCAGTTTGAGACCCGGGTGCCGCATGACGGAGTGAGCTCCCATCTCTAGTTCCAGCTCCTGCCAACCTAGCAGTTCGAAAGCAAGAAATTGCAAGTAGATAAATACGTACCCCTTCGGTGGGAAGGTAACAGCATTCTGTGCGCCTTGGTGTCTAGTCATGCCGGCCACATGACCACGGAAACGTCTTCGGACAACGCTGGCTCTTCGGCTTTGAAACGGAGATAAGCACCGCAACCCTAGAGTCGGATTCGACTGGCTTTCGAGCAAGGGAACCTTTACCTATACCTTTAAGAGTTTGCCCCCCCCTCTCTTCAGCGGTTGTTTATTTTGCATTCCTGTTATGTACTCCTGCCAACCTGTTCGAAAGCCAGAAAATGGCAAGTAGATAAATAGGCGCCGCTTCGGTGGGGAAGGGAAACAGTGTTTCCTACGCCTCGGCATCTAGCCACGCAGGCCACATGACCAGGGGAAACAGTCTTTGGACAGCGCTGGCTCTCCGGCTTGTCAACGGAGATGAGCACCGCGACCCTAGAGTCGGGATTCGACTGGCTTTCGAGCGAGGGGATCCCTTTGACCTATGTATAAAAACAAACAAACAGCAAGGACCAGAGGTCATGGAATTCAGGGGATTCCGAAGTGTAGTGTGGAACGTCATCATGACGTTAAATAAAAATCTAACTAGGAAACGTGTATAGCGACCATTCGCTACTTAAGCTGAATTAGTTAAGGCCTGTAGTAGAGAGGGAGGCACTAAGCTGAGTTAGTGTGAGCTAGCTCACAGTTTTTTAGTCTCTGGCTCACACATTTTTGTCTTAGCTTGGGAAGGAAGGCTCCAAAATAAACTAATTTACGCAGCAGCCAAACCTCTCACTCACAACTTTAATGCCAGTAGTTCACAAAATAGAATTTTTGCTCACAAGACTCCACAGCTTAGAGGGAACATTGCTCATGACCTGTGGTAGCCTGGGTATGTATGATGTGTGTCTGAGGGGTGGAACCCTTTCCCCCTTTTGCCGTGCCTATGCTTTAGCTTGCCAGATCTGACAAAGGTGTTCACCTTACCAGAAGTCCAAATCTTGCCAATAAACCTGCTAAAAGAATATTGCGTGAAGAGTGGTTCCTCTGGGGTCTGACAGAGTATAATTTAAAGGAAACACAGCCCCCCCCCCATAGGAAGGGCGACACAGCTTCCCAGATGTATCTGTTTTCCTGCTGTAAGAAATCAATTTTTAATCATGACACACTGTATTTTGATTTGATTTACTATGAAATGTACAAACCTCAAACCCCAAAGTTTATTGTTTCATAGGAGGAAAAAAGACTAGTTTCACTAGGGGGCAGTACATTACATTAGTGCAAGCCAGGCCTTTCTACCCACTCAATTTGTAGTGTGTGTATTTAGATTCCTGTGCAGTTGATTCCCAGACGTAACACACAATATATTAATATTTTGGACAAGTATAACTTTAGCTAAAGATATTTTTTGTTCCTTAGCAAAGTGCTACATTTCATACTGGGGAAACACTTAAGCAGCACACTCATCATTTAATTGCAATGTGGATTGTGGGTGTGTGAATATTACTCCTTTGTAGGAACAGCTTGTGAAAAGGAGCAAACTGAGTCCATCCCCCCCATGCTTACCCATTGTTCATCACTGGTTCAAATAGTCTGTACCATTTTACAAGAAAATTAAAGCTTGCAGGAGATGCAGTGAAGCTTCCCAAGTTGATCACAATATGTCATGCCTTGTGTGGTTGAATATCTCAACAGCTGACATTGCTTGGATATACCTCCTCTTTAAAACTGTTTAGGTAGATGCTCAAGTACCCTTTGCATCCAAATCCTGTAGGAATGACATAAATGCAATAGTATTTGGCTTGAATTAGTATTGGCTCAAACGTGGATGATCTCCTTTGCCAGGCAAGCAGTTGATAAAGAGCCAGGATTTTGTTCCCGGTGGGCAGGTAGACATGGCTGCCCTATCAACAATAACATGCCACTTTCTAAACTGGCCTTTCCCCCTTTGTTTTAACAGGAGGCTGATGCACAGAAACTGAGCAGGTGAGATTTTTCAAAGCATGGAGAGAAAGCGATGAAGAATCTTGCTGTGGCATTTTTGCAGGCTTGGCTGCTATGAAAGTATGAAGAGCAGCATCTGAAGAAGAAGAAAAAAGTGGCAACCATAGCTGCAGTCTGGGATGCAAAGGTGCTTGGTCACTGGTTGCCATTTTAGAATCTCTAGGATGGCAATAGGGTGGCAAGGTGTGGGTTGGGAAACACCTGGAGACTTTGGGGGTGGATCCGGGAGAGGACAGGGTTTGGGGAGGGGAGGGGCCTCAGCAGGGTCCAAGGCCACGGAGGCCACCCTCCAAAGCAGCCGTTTTCTCCAGGGGAGCTGATCTCTGTCAGCTGGAGATCAGTTGTAAAAGCGGGAGATCCCCAGGCCCCACCTGGAGGCTGGCAACCCTAGATGGCAATAAGGGAGACGTTGGGTGCTATGGACGTGAAGTAGTCTATAGAGGTCAGGAAGTGAGACTCACGCGTAACACCTCTGGTGGTAAGTTTTCCAACTGCCTGCTGTGACTGGGCCTTTAGCAGCTGCTTGGTGTTCAGAGAGTGGCCGCTGATACCATGGGTTTCCCTGCCGTGACACGCTTTACCAGTTGGTCTTTACACCTCAAGCGGCTACGAAAGTGCAAGAGAAAGCCAGCTATTCCCTATCGTCAAACCTGGGTTGGGAAATTCCTGGAGATTTCGGGGTGGGACCTAGGGAGGGCGGAGCTTGGTGAGGGAGCTCGGCAGGGATAGGATGCCCGAGAGTCTGCCCGCCCAAGCGGCCGTTTCTTTCGGGGGAACGGACCTCGGTTGTCTGGGAGAACTCCAGGCCCCACCTGGGTACCGGCAGCCCTGCCTGCTGTCTTCTCAAGACAGGACCTGCCCCCTCCTGTGGTTGTCCGAAGGTATAACTACATTTGTAAAAGTATACAGATATTTTACTCCTATACATTCTATACTTGCCTTACAAGTACAGGCATACTCGGCACTCAGCTTGACAGAGGAACGGACGTAGCTGCTCTGCCACTGAGGAAAGCCTCCCCAGGGGCAGTCCATGGGCAGGGCTGCCAGCTCTGGGTTGGGGAATACACTAGGGCTGCCAGGTCCCCCGGGAGGGCGGAGGTCCCCCCGCTAAAAGTGCCCCCAATCCGTCGGTCCGGATCAGGCCGGCGGGGGGGCTACCCCGCCCCCAAAGTGTCCGGTTCAGGCCGACATGCCCGGCGCAATGACGTCACGCTGGGCACGTCGCCGGCTGACGCTCGAGCAATCAGCCTGAAAACACTATGGTACCATAGAGTTTTCAGGCTGATTGCTAGAGCGTCAGCCAACGACGTGCCCGGTGTGATGACGTCACTTCTGGGTGATGTCGTCGCGGTGCGTGCAACGCTCCCCTGCTTTTCACTGTAAGTCACTTGGCAGCCCTAAAATGGGAAGAGGTTTGGTGGGTAGAGCCTGAGGAGGGCGGGGTTTGGAGAGGGGAGGGAACAATGGGGGACAATCCCATGGAGTTAGGGTTGCCAAGTCGCTAGGACTCACCGGCGGGGGAGCGTCGCCGGGGTCCAGGAGCTGCCGATGGACCTGCGTGCATGCGAAGCACACACGCGCCGCCAGAACTTCACAGGAAGTGACGCACGACGTAGAGCACGTTGGGGGCGTGGCCCCAATCGTTGGAGGGAAAACCATAGAGTTTTCCCTCCGATGATTGGGGCCACGTCCCCAACGTGATCTTCCTGTGATGCAGCCACGCTGCGCTTCGGGGGGGGGCGGGGTTCCCCCCAGGGCCCGATTCCGCGGCGGCGGAAATCGGACTTCCAAAGCGGGGGTTTACCCACCCCCCGCCCCCACTTGGCAGCCCTACATGGAGTCCACCTTCCATTTTCTCCAGGTGAACTGATCCCTGTTGCCTGGAGATCCGTTGTAGTAGCAGGAGGTCTCCAGCCACCGCCTATCCATGTGGGAAGGCAGCCGATTCCATCGCTGACTACAGGGCCATAGCCAGGCTTCCCTGGTAGCTGGGGCTGTCGTGTTCCCAGGTGAGGTTTCAAAGGGAAGTGTGGAAGACCAGCAGTGACAAACAGAAGCCGCTAGGGCCCCGCTGCCAAGGCCCTATGTATGTTTTAATGTCTATGCATCATTAGAACGGTGTGTGCATTGAGTAATAAAGACAACTACTTTTGGATTTAGAAGCTTTAACCTAATTGTAATAGGCATCTTCCTTAAATTAACTTCTTGCCCCCTTACGATGCCCTCCACCATACCAGCCAAAATGCCCCCCCCCCCCGATCATTGAACTATGAGAAGGTTGATGGGAGTGTTGGACAATTCCTCCTGACTCAAGGTAGCCTGAATGGAAGGGTGCCACTTTCAGGTGACAATAACCACCAGTTTTG